ATTCATTAGATTGGATCTGCTGATTCGTTTTCGGATTAGTTTCTTCTACACAAAAGTAATTCGATCTTAATTCTTTGTTTTGTTTTGTTGTTTCGATTTCATTCTCACCTTAATGGGTTTTTTCTAATTGTGTTTTTCTGTTTCTCAAATCAACGAAAAGTGCATTTTCCCATGTGGGTTCTTAGTTTCGAGGCATGGATTTGTGGAGTTTTGTTCTTTTTCATGGAAAATTCAGATAATTTTAGTTCTTGGAAGGAAACCATCTGTAATATTATGTTTGGAATGTTGATGAAGATAATGAAGATGTTTTTTTTGATTTGTTGTTGGTGATGAATTGTTGTATTTTTCTAAAGCTGATTTTTTTTTTTATTTTGGCTGGGGAATGTTCGGGGTCGGGGAAACCCGATCCTCGTTAGGGGGCGGGGGTGGTAATAGGTTCCCCGTTAGGATTGGAGCTGGGTACGGGGGAAATTCGACCATTGGGGATCTAGGACGGGGAGTGGAATCCCCGGCCCCGTGCCGCGCTGTTGCCATTTCTAGATCTAACACCATTTCTCTCGAATCCAAGGACCACAGAGGCAGTTCTCTTGTTCACCAACACCACTAATTCATCAATGGCTTTGGCAGTATAACAACAGAGGCAAAATCAGGATAAAAAAAATATAACAGGACTTCTTGATGCATGAGAAAGAAACTTGAGACCTAATGGGTTATAGATTCAATTATCGGGACCGATTGGTAAAAAACCCTTATTTTTTCAAACTGCGTTATATTAATTTTACTTATTAGAAAATAAGTCGTTTCTCCTTATTTTATCATTCAGGTCTCCTATTATTGAGTATTGTTGAAAAATTTTCAACTTTGTTATTAAAATTGAAATTCCAAATTCAAGGGAAGTTTGGAAATACCTAAATAAGCCAATTTATTTATTTTAAATCTTTAGTGATTTTTTAAAAAAGTTGTCACATTTTTTTTAACTTTTCTAATTCGCTGTGTAATTTTTTTTGGAAAAAAAAAACTTTTCAAACAATTTTTTTTAAAAAATTGCTAAAGACAAAAATAAACCAATAAAAAAAAATCACCTAAAAAGCAAATTCCAAACTCTGACTTCTTGTGCAATTGTTACTTTTGAGTGAATTTGGTTAAGGTGATAAATTTTCAATATTTTTGTTTTTCTTTGTTTTTCTTTTTGAATGACAACAAAAGAAGCTCTCAGAGTATTATAATTTCCGCACATCCTAACTTTGGAATAATCGATTGACAATTAGATTTGGCTCAATTCAAAGAATAGATCCCACCAAGGTAATAGTGGTTTCAGATGAGAGTCATTTCACAATACAATGCATTGTTCAAGACTTGTACGCCGTTCATAGAAAGGAGTCCAAAATAAATAGGGTTCAGCTTATCTCAAGTTGAGATCAAGATTAGATCCGTTCAGTTTAGTTTATGGGGTCTATTTTTTGGGTTCGTTTTGATAATCTGAACCGTTAATGTGTAGAAATCGTCAAGTACTATATTCTTGTAAAAAATTACGTTGATCGGATATCAATAGTTATGTGATCAAATCAGTTTTGTATAAAAAAAATGGACGGTGAAACAATTAACGGTTGATAAAAAATTGTTTTGTTCACATAACTATCGATATCCGATCAACGTAATTTTTTACAGATATATAGTACTCGACGAGTTCTACATATTGAACGGTTTGAATTATCAAAATGGGACCTGTGGTGGGCCCCTACGGACCCAACAGTACGATCCAGTCCGATCTTGGGCTGGACCAAAGCCACTGCCAAATAAATACTATTGGACAACCACCCCTGGTGATTAACTAATTTTTCAATTTATTACAAAAATATACTCACATTTTTCCCTGTCTCTCATGAAAATAGTCAATAATTATCTAACCTATTAATCACCTACCCCTGGTGATTAACTAATTTTTCAATTTATTAAAAAAATATACTCACATTTTTCCTTGTCTCTCATGAAAATAGTCAATAATTATCTAACCTATTAATCATCTAACTTCTCAATTTTCTTACAATTGATTCACAAAAGGATAAATTTAATAAAATACATCAGAATATATATTTTTATTATTTTTATTTTCTATCATTTTTATTTGAAAAAATGACAATAATGGACTCCACAATTTGACAATTGTAACAAAATAAACATAAATTTTTAATTTTATCAATTTAAACTCTAATTTTTAAATTTATTTTCAATCCAAACTATTAATCAATTTTCACTAAGTAAAATTAACGAAAAAAAATATTTTAATCATTATAATCATTGTAAGGCCAAGTTTGGGGAGTCTCCAAAAAGTCAAAAAGTCAAAAAGTTACTTAAAAAGTTAAAAAGTTATCACTATTCACCAAAAGTCAACACTTCCAAGCCTCTACAAACAAAGTATCAAGAACATGGTGACCTCTTGTGCGCCTCAACTCCAAAAAGTCAAAAAATTAACCCAAACATTCATATTTTCAACCTCAACTTTTTAGTCTAAAAAGATAAAAAAGTGCACTTATTTAGGATACCCAAAACAACCCCTAAGTATACATAAAATATTTAAAATATTATTTTTTTTTATTGAATTTAATAATTAAAAAAATATATATATTTTTTCTATCAATTTTACTTAACAAAACAAGCAGATAATTTATATTAAAAATAAAATAAAAAATTATAATTTAAATTACTATAATCAAAAAATTAAAATTTATTTTAGAGTGCTACTATTAACAGCCCATTAATTATTTTGAACCCCTCAATTTTTAGCCCTTTTTTTTTATTACAATAATAACTTTAAATAAAATTACTAAAAATGATATCATTAATTTCGAGACACCCCATTTCACAATTAAATCCACACACCAACTACATCATAAATTAGGGTTTATAAGAGTATCCACCTCCATCACCATCCATCCATTTTCCTTAAATCCCACTTTCAAAACTTACCTACTCTCAAAACCTTTAAAACCTTTTGGTGACAATATTCTGGTAGTAACGGTAGCAATAATTTAATTACCTACACTTATTTGGTAATGACAATGATTGAAAATTTTTTCAGTAACCACAATTTCATGAGACGAGAGGAGTACAACCAGTGGCGTAGCTAGGAATTCAGTGTAGAGGGGGCACGAATTAATGATAATTTGGTTTTATTTTTTTAAAAACACTTTACAGAAAATTCTATTTTTTTGTTTTTACTGATTTTTTTAATATTTTAAGAATTTTTTTTTTTTACTTTTTAGACATACCTACATAAACATACATAAAAAGTAAAAAAATTATGAAAAAAACCTTGTAAAAATTCACTAAATACCAAAAATATAAAAAAAATATGAGAATTCAATATATTTTTTGTATTTTTATGTATTTATTAATTTTTTTAAAATATTTTTTTCACAATTTTTTTACTTTTTAGATACATCTAAGTAAAATGCATATAAAAAAGTTAAAAAAAAGTTTAAAATTTTAAAAATATTCACTAAAAACAAAAAAACTCAATTTTCAAAAAACTTAATTCCAAAAACTCAAACAAAACACACTGATTATGATTTTTTTTCCATAATAAACAACAATGAGATATTACTAAACTTAAATATTAAGAGTTTATTTAGATAAATGTGAATTTTAAATTAAAAGATTTGAGATTAAATTTTATACAAATTTTGGGGAGTAACTATTTTATAGGTGGATTGGAAAATTAAAAAAAAAGATACGTTGAGATAGAAATGATATATTTTAGTAGAGAAATTCTATAAAACATACCACAAAAAAAGTGTCTATCATATCTCGCAATTATGATCTTCGTGATCTTTAGTTATAGCACATTATAGTATTAAATATAATTTAGTTATAACTTCTTGTGGTTGTTATTTTAGTTATGACTAAATATCAAGTAATAATTAGTTATGACTCATTCTGCTATTAGTTATGACCTATTGTAATTTTTTTATTTTTATAATTGAAGATGTGTTGCTTAATTATAATTTATATAGTGGTCATTTTAGTTATGAATGGAAAGAAACATATGAAGGATAAACTCTACATGTCAAATGTAACTAACAATCCAATAAATTCTATATATTTATTGAAATTTATTATGTTTGTATGTCAATAATGATAGATATCACCATTATATTGAAATTTTTATGGATAATAATATGACTTATTATAGCCTATTTATCTTCAATCAAAATAACCATTATTGTTCTCATAATTTAAAAATGTCATTGACGTTTCACTTCAAATAATATTTTTTTAATTTTTTTATTTAATAAATATTCTTTATGTTTAAAAAAAAAAAAAATTCCGAAACTCAGGGGGACACGTGCCCCCGAGCCCAACATAGCTTCGCCCCTTAGTACAACAATCAAAATTTGGAAGAGATTCATAGTTTTGATGGTGTTTTTAACTTAGAGGATATTGGTCATATAAGGGTAAATTTCTTTTAAAAAATTGACAAAAATAATAAAATATGTTCGTTATTTTTTCAGAACTGAACTCCAGAACATATGACCTAAATTTGGGAACACAGGACTGAACTCCAGAACATATGACCTAAATTTGAGAACACAGAACCGAACATTATCGGTTTTGCTTCATACACCCAGTGGGGGTCGCGCCCCCAGTGACGTGGCGTGCCCCCACTGGTCGAAAATCAAAAAAAAAAGAAAAGAAAAGAAAAATTATTTTTTTCGGATCAACCCCCAGCTGACACCTCACTGGGTGTCACTCCCAGCTGGGGTAAAATACATTTTCCTTTATTTATTTAGGAATCGATAACCAAACATTTATTATTTGCTCGAAAACAAGTTACCGAACATTAATTACCGAATAAAAAGGATGAGGCGGCAGAAAGAGAGAGCATACAACTATGACAATGGAAATAAGGTCGGACCCACGAGACACAGACAAATTTATTTTGTTAGCAGACTCAAGTAACTCTTTTTAAAACCGGGTGTCTTAATTTATGAAAATAATTGAATGAAAAGAATTTGGACAGCGATGTAAAACGCGTGATCATGAGAAGGTGAGTGGAGCTGGTAAAACGAATGAGGGAACCATTCAGACAACGAGGAGGACGACAACGAAGAGACACAGACAAATAGAAATAGAAATAATAATAATACATTCAATCTTTATTATTATTATTTATATATTCATTTTATCGCCTTTTCGGATCGAGTTCTACAGGTAATCCAATTTTTTTTTTTTTGTTTTTTTTATTATAAAAATCAACTAATTGTTTGCCTCTCGATTTGTGATCCTTTGTTTCTAGGCTTTCGGTCTCAATTATATATATATATATATATATATTTTTTTTTCTTCTTTTGATTTCTCTGAATTGTGCATGTATTTATGTGTTTTACGCGTTTTGGTGTTTGATCCGTTGACTCAGTTTTTTCCACATAATTTTGTGTAAATTAAGCTATTTTCATTTTTAATGTGTGAGAAAGATCTTAATTTTGGCTTTATTTATTTATTTGATAATGTTTGAGGAAATACAATAAGATTAATCATTGTGAAAATGGATTTTAATTAGTAATTTTTTTTGAACTATACAGGTTGTTGATATATATATATATATATATGCTGGTTTGGAAATTGTATAGAGAGCATAATACTTGAACAAATGATTGATAGTTGTTGAGGTGGGTTTTGAGTAATGGATTCAGCTAGGAGTTGGTTACAGAAGTTTCAGCCTTCCAATAGGAAAAAGGATTCAGCTACCATGGGAAAAGAAGATTCAACACCCTTATCGGCTGAAGAAGCCTCGAATATTACCAAACAGAAGGCTGCAGCAGCAAAACAATATATAGAGAACCATTACAAGGAGCAGAAGAAGAGCCTGCAGGAGAGGAGGGAGCGGTATGTCACACGACCTTTCGAATTAAATGAATAATTGGTTGGGGCATTTATGGTTGAATCTTTGTCCTTTTTTCTTTTTGAGGGTTTTTATATTGAATCGCCGATTTTTCATTTCAAGCAAAATTGGTTATTGTGTTTGAAACTGGCAATATAGGTGACATATGCTTTTGCTTGTTTTATTGGATCTTTAAATTTTGTATTTGTTTCATAATTCTGTTGCTAAATAACTGGTTTGTGTGCAAAATACAGTTTACCTTTGCTCTCTGTTATAATCAAGAAAATAGTTTTATTGTTTCATATGTTCTAACATAGTATATTAGTATAGGCTGATATGATGGAATTTTCAATGATAGTCATTAATGCTGTATTTGGGTGGGGGATTTGGAAAGGGAAAGGGAAAGGGAAAGGAAAAACGTGTGTGAAACTAGGTGAAATATAAGCATGTTTTATTCACATTTCACCTACATTTTCCATTTCCCTTTCCAAATTCCTCCCCAAATCCTCTAACCAAATACAACATAAGATTTTAAAAAGAGAAGTGTTACTGTGGCTGTCTTATTTATGCAGCTGAATTCTGATATTTGTTTGCAAGCAAATAGAGAATTTTTTTTGTACAACTCATGTACATGCAAAGCATGCTGAAATAGACAAGCACCCAATACAACTAACCTATACGAGACAAACTTACAACACCAAAACAAAAGACTAGATTCTGAAATCTCCCAAGAAATCTATGGTAGTGTGTATCAAATTGAGGAGTTATGGTAAGCAAAAATGTGAAAGAGTTTAACAGAGACTGTTTTAGTTTCGTGATAGGTATCTCAAATTTGTAAAAAAATCTTAGATTCCAAATACTTTAGCACAAACATAAAGGCACCACTGCATACTTGTCCAACACATGTGAGTCGTGACCTTGACTTGCTCCCAGCTAGACCCTCAATAGCTGAGGAAAGCACAAGGCATTGAATCCCACAAGAAACAAAAAGCAGATGCAATGGAGTTCTTGTAAGAAAACATGTCAAAGAGTTCAACATGGAGTGTTGTAGTTTCACAATAGGTATCTCAACTCTGTCAAAAGAGCTCAGATTCTTCTTCTTTCACACACTTTAGCACAAACATAAAGGCAGCACTGCCAACACTTGTGACTTTGACTTGCTTTCGACCAGATGGAGCCTCACTAACCGAGGAAGGCATAAGTCTGTGAAATATTAAGAAGAAACGAAAAGGAGATCCCATGAGGAGCTTACAACATAAGAGTGTTTTAGTTTCGTAATAGGTCTCTCGATTCCATCAAAGAGCTCATATCCGTCTTCTTTCATAGCTTATATTCCTCTTATTTCATGTCTTTCAGCACAAACATGAAGGCACCACTAGCCATACTTCTCCAACACTTGTGACTTTGATTCGCTTCCAACTAGGCAAAGGCTCACTAGCTGAGGAAAGCATAAGTCATTGAATCCCAAAAAGAAACAAAAAAGAGAACCACAATAAATATAAGCAACTATATGTAATGAAGCAAAAGGTATTTAACTGCTTTTGCTCTCACTTGACCATGCAATTTTACTTTGGGAGGTTTCAAATAACGGTTGATGTAATGGTAACAGTGGTGTTGATGCAGTTGCGGGGTGTAACGAGCGTAGCATAATCGCTGCGTCAACTAGATCCATGAATTTTTTATTTTCGCATAATTTCAAGAAAGCTTACCGATACACATGTTTTTATTTCAGAATCACATTTGTTGAGGTTTAAAATGGTTTTTGGAGTATTTAGTATATATATTTTAAACACTATCTAATATATGTACTAAATTTATACTTTTTAAGTCACTATATAGAGGGCTTTGTCATATTTTTCTTTCAACATTTAATTATTTCATGTATCATAAATTCATAATGCACAACTTTATTGTTATTTATTTTGTTATTAATAGTTATAGACATAATGTTATGTCATGTTCTGTTTAAATTTGTAGGTTACATATGTTCAATAAATGAGTTTGAATTTAATTGCTATTATTTTATTTAACAAACTAAAATTTTATGATTTATTTCTTCAAGTTATACAAGTAACACAACATACAACTACATATAAAAATTATGTTTAATATTTACTGTCAAGTGAAATGGGCTAGAGAGTGGTGCACATTGCATGAGCCACGTGTGGTATGTAATTCATGTGCGTGTATTTGTGTAGAGAACATGGAATAAAAATCCACTACATTTGACATTAATCTGCTGTTCATTTATCTGTATTTTCAAGACTTTTATATATCAATATTATCCCCTAAGTTTATAGTTTCATATAATTTCTCCAAGTAAAGCTACTTACAGCCGTATATAGTAGAGTTGTTTTATTAGTAACATCTTAGTGCTGGGCTTATTGTGCTTACCTCCTTTTTTTCCCCTTTAAGCAGACGAAATTTACTGGAGAAGAAGTTGGCTGATGCTGATGTCTCTGAGGAAGATCAAAACAACCTACTAAAGTTCTTGGAGAAGAAGGAAACTGAATACATGCGTCTTCAGAGGCATAAAATGGGTGCTGATGATTTTGAGTTACTGACCATGATTGGAAAGGGTGCATTCGGGGAGGTATATATCTTCAGTGATTTATATTTCTGTGGTGGGCTGTGCTTTCATGTGGCCCCTCTTTGTAGAATTGGGTGCTTTTGGTCCCTTCTTTCATGCTTGGTTTTGTCAGCTGCTGAGTTTGGTTATTGGAAACTGTTTCTGAAAATAGTAGTAGCTGACTTCTTGTTCCCGAATTCCTGCTTTTGCTTTGTGAGCTTTTGCAGCAATTTACTCCTGAGAGCAAACATTGTTTTTTAACTTGTTTGATCCATTCATAGATAATTAACAATATAATGATTTATGTTTATACCATCTTCTATGGTCCTAACATAATGATCATGTTTATGACATTGCAAGGATGTTCACTATTATAATTTCTGAAAAGCTGTCTGATATGGATTTGTAATGTAGGACAAGATTTTTTTTTGGATTGACACTGGGGTGTCCAGATCAAAGCCCAACTAATCCTTAGGGGTGCACAGGCTCTCGGCAAAGAGTTTCCTACAAGTGCACCACGGTCTATGAAGCACGGACACCTCTCCGGAAGTCACGTACGAGTGTCCGACACGTGTCGTACACGGACGCACGCCAGACATGCTTTGAACACTCTGGAAAGAGTCGGACACATTGAGACATGCGGGACACATTGCGAACACGTAGGGACATGCTAAGGACACATTGGGGACATGTTAAGGACTATTTTTTTCAAAAAAATTAATTTTTTTTTTCCCTAAAATAACATACTGAAAGTTGATAAAATCAAATATTTGACATAATATATATATATATTATGTCATCACAGGATTAAAAACTTTAAAGTGGAGATTACACTTAAGAAGATAAAATCAAATAAGGTTTTAGGACCCGATGATATTCCTATTGAAGTTTGGAAGTGTTTGGATAAAAAGGGGGCTGCTTAGTTGACTAGGTTGTTTAGCAAATTTTGTTGACTAGAAACATGCCAGATGAGTATTGGAAGAGTATTTTAGTGCCAGTCTATAAGAATAGAGGAGATGTTTAGAATTGCAACAACTATAGAGGAATCAAGCTAATGTGTCATATGATGAAAGTATGGAAGAGGGTGATGGAACGGCGATTGCGAGATATAACAGAGGTGTTAGAGAATCAATTTGGATTTATGCCTATCATGTCAACAATGGAAGCGATTTATCTTTTGAGTAGAGTAATAGAAAAGTATAGAGAAAAGAAAAGAGACATTCATATGGTATTTATCAACCTTGAGAAAGCATATGATAGAGTGCCCCGGGATATAATATAGTGGGTGTTAGAGAAGAAAGGGGTGACAAAAGATTATATTGATGTGATTAGGGGCATATATAAAGGGATGGTGACTATTATTAGATCGCCTGTTGGAGAGACAAATAAATTTCCTATCACTGTAGAGTTACACTAAGGATCTACCTTAAGTCTTTATCTTTTTGCTTTAGTTATGGATGAGTTGACGAGAAATATTCAGGATGACGTGACATGGGGTACGCTTTTTGCAGACGATATTGTGCTAGTGGATGAGACTAGAGAAGGAGATAATACAAAGTTGGAGATTTGGAGAAAAGCTCTTGAATCTAAAGGATTTCGGATAAGTAGAACTAAGACAGAGTACATAGGAGTGTAAATTTAGTAACAGTAACAATGAAAGCAAAGGAGAAGCGAAGATTGAGAATCAAAAACTGCCTAAGAGTGAACATTTTCGTTATTTAGGGTCGATTATTATAACAACAGGGAGATTGATGCGGATGTGGCCCATAGAATTAAGGCGAAATGGTGTAAGTGGAGAAGTGCGTCTGGGATACTGTGCGATAAATGAATACCCACTAGACTAAGAGGTAAGTTCTATAGAACGGCTATTAGACCAACGATATTGTTTGGGATGGAGTGTTGGGCAATCAAGAAACAACATGTAGATAAGATGAGTGGTTGAGATGAGAATACTAAGGTGGATGTGTGGCAAGACTAGACAAGACAGAATTGGGAATGAGTGTATTCGGAAATGAGTAGGAGTAGCACCGATAGAAGATAAGTTGAGAAAGAATCGATTGAGATGGTTTGGTCACATTCAATGTAGACCAACAGAGGCAGTAGTGAAAAGATGCGATACTGTAACGATAGATAAGAGTGTTAAGGGACGGGATAGGCATAGATTAACGTTGGCTAGCATTGTAAATAGAGATATGAATTTACTTAATTTGACTAACGAAATAGCCTTTGATAGGGCCGCGTGGAGAAGAAGGATTCATGTAGCCGACCCCATTTGATGGGATTTAAGGCTTGGCTTGTTTTGGTTTGGTTTGGTTTGGTTATCTAAAAATATGACATATAATAAATATATAAAATTATATTTTTTGCATGTGTCCCCGACGTGTCGTGTCTTGCATTTTTTGAAAATTTACGTGTTCGTATATCCAAGTCATCTCACATGTCCGTGTCCGTGCTTCTTAGACCATGGCTAATTCAAGGGTTTCCCTCCTAGTCCGATGGTTCCAAGGAATTGTTAGCATCTAAGAGGTTTCGATCCCTGAACCTTTGAGAAAGCACACCCCCAAGACCCCAGGCCAACCTCTTGGGGTTACTTAGGACCAGAGTTTTAAAATTATTCTTACCTTTTGTGGTTTTTCTTTGTCTTGTAATCTGGTGTTTTGCAAGCAAGTACTAGTGCTCTTTTCTTTAATGAACAACCTGGCAATATCTGAAGTTTATGCCCTGAAATATGATCATCAAATCTCATGAGTTGTTGCTATTTATCTTTTAAAATAGGTGATCAAGAGAAGGAAGTATAAGGCTGGATGGGTATAAATGAAATGGAAATAAATTTTAGTAAATAGTTAGAGAATTTCAGGTTAATGTATGGGGATTATGGTAAGAGTTCTTTTGTTTTCTAATTAAATTAGGAAATTAAAGAAAACAAAGATCACAGTCGTTGGGCGTGTACGATATCTTAAGTTGAAATTATTGACTGAAACTGAATGATCTAAAATAGCTCTAACACGAACTGGAAGATTATTTAACAAGTATTTTAAATTGCCTTAGTGTTGAAATATACCTATTACATGGCTTCTTGGGTCAAAAAATAGAAAGAAAAAAAAAAGGAGTGCACAAATATTAATTTCTTGGGGTTGGTTTGTTAATGAATTCCATGTTCTTTTACTGTTTTTGCTCTCTTAGGTGTTTGTAAATGACGTGATTTATTGCCCTTCACAGATAGTCAACCAAAACTATTTTCTGATTTGATGCAACTATAAAGCAATATTTTTCACACAAAGATTGATCTTTACTTGAAGGAAAATGCTATGCAAACAGAATTTTAATTCAATTTTTTTGTTGAGAATGATGTGGCGTGCAATTTTCATGATATGACCAAAATGATGGCCTTTTAATTCAATGTGATTAGACAATGAGCTGCATTACTTTCTATTAAATTTATTTACAGAAATTCTGTTTGTAAAAAATTTTAATTTATTTATTTTTTTGATATACTTTATTTGTTATTAATCCCATACTTCACTGTTATGGTTCCTAAATTCCCTCCCTTTCTTATTACTTTCTATCAGCAAGTCAAAGAAATTGCGTGATTTAATTGCTCATGTCCTTTAAGAACCAAAATTGACTTCCCCTCGATAAATAGGTTAATTGGATTTTTTTTACATTTTGACCGATTTATACCGATCTCATTCTTGTTTTAAAACTTTACCTTTTCCCTAACATTTAATACTTGAATCAGATATAATTTTATTCGCTAGGCTAATCCGCAAATGCCTTAATGTCAGCACCATTTAATTTTTATTTATTTTTGGCTAAGTGAGGGATTCATTACTAAGAACAAAGAATATACAACAAAGTCCAATACAAGCACTAAATGGCAAAAGCAAAAATAGAAACAAGCCTTTTAAGCTTCAAGAGGCAACAACAAATCTATATCTCTATGAAAAACAAGAACTCTCACAACCCAAGAATCTAGGTAAAACAAAATATGGAAGTCTTCTCACAACCTGAGAGACTAGGTAACATTGCCTCTTCCACCTTTTCCTCCAGCCACCTTCAAGTTATAGATTCTCTTTTAATTTCTTCTTGCTCTCATATCTTGAAGTTGAAGGATTTTCAACTTTGTCATCTCTTTTAAACATGGTAATACAAGAATCAAGCATACTAAACATCTAATGCATTGTGTAGGCTTCATATATATTTTTAGTATGTCATAAAATTTTCAGCTTCTCTCTATTAAATCATTTAGCACAAGAGAAGTTTGTCAAATACAAAAATGTTTTGCTTTAAGAGACTAGACGACTAGGACTTCAAATTTAAAAATGTTACCCAGTCATTACATCCAGTTTCTGTTTTCTTTTTCATTTTTTGTTCCTGAGATTTTTCTATATCTAGAGACTTGCAAAAAGAAAAAGGATTTTTTTATTTTTTATTTTTATGTAGATAGTGTTAGTTAATTACTTACTTTATTTGCTTATTTCTGGTGCAGGTCAGAATTTGTAGTTCCAGGGAAAAGACAACTGGTTCTGTTTATGCAATGAAAAAGCTTAAGAAATCAGAGATGCTTCGTAGGGGCCAGGTATGAAATTTTTTGGCCTCACAGATGATGGATTGTGGTTTGTTCACTATTTACTGGCAACTAGCTTTTAAATTCTTTTAGGTTGAGCATGTGAAAGCTGAAAGAAATCTGCTTGCGGAGGTGGATAGCAATTGCATTGTCAAACTCTATTGTTCTTTCCAAGATGATGAGTTTCTGTATCTGATAATGGAATATCTACCTGGTGGAGATATGATGACTCTACTTATGAGAAAGGATACACTGACTGAAGATGAGGCCAGATTTTATGTTGCAGAAACAGTTTTGGCTATTGAATCAATTCATAAACATAATTACATTCATAGGTTTGTAGCTGACTGTGCTTGATGTATAATTTTATCATATGCTGCAAAGTTCATTCTCATTGTACAAATGTTCAGATTCTCTGACTCTTTCTATGTTACATTTTACCTGGCTACAGAGACATCAAGCCTGATAACTTACTGCTTGATAAATATGGTCACTTGAGACTATCAGATTTTGGACTATGTAAACCTTTAGATTGCAACACTCTCCAAGAGAATGCTTTTTCTATGGGGGACAGCAGAACTTTGCAAAATAGTGAACACTCTTTAGCTCCAAAGCGCACCCAGCAAGAGAAATTGCAGCATTGGCAGAAAAACAGGAGGATGCTTGTAAGTTTTCTGTCAGTGAATGTATTTTCCTTGGCTTTCTTGCTCAGTTTTATTATAATTTGTATTTGTGAAGATAAATTTTACACTTTTTCTGAGGTATATTTTTTTGGTTTGATCATTTGTGGGAAATTGTCTTTGATTCATTCATGTCATACACCAAATAAACAAATTCAGAAAAATTTACAAGCTTTTGGAAAAATTTACAAACTCTTTGCAGTAGTATATTGTAATTTATAAGCTTTTGGCAAAATTTGGTGGTGGCTTCCAGGATATTATTTATTTATTTTTGTAACTTTGCTTATTGGGACCTGGCAGGCTTATTCTACTGTTGGTACACCTGATTACATCGCTCCAGAAGTTCTGTTGAAGAAAGGTTATGCGATGGAATGTGATTGGTTAGTAGTTTATGCATGTTCATTCAATATGAAACCTTAGAATGTCCTTTGCTAACAAAATCATTTTATTGAGTTCTACATGGCATTTTGGATTAAACCTTTTCTAGCATGATCAATGTAATTTCATTTGTTAATTAGTTGAGATTGTACAAAAGTAGATTTAATGGAATAGACTTATGATTATTCTGTTTTAGGTGGTCTCTTGGTGCTATTATGTATGAAATGCTCGTGGGATATCCGCCTTTTTATTCTGATGATGCTATGTCGACATGTAGAAAGGTAACCTAGGAATGCTGCTAATCAATATCTTGTTTGCATTTAACATAAAATAATATTATTTAAAATGCCAAGTTTTGGTGAGTTTCAGTATTATTTTTATTTCATTTTATTTTGCCACTATTTTTTTTTTTAATAATTTTTTTAGAGGGTTTTTATTTTGCCACTTTAACCTATGTAATCCCCACTTTGTTGTGAGATTTCATTACATGCGTGTTCTCATCTGGTTTAAGAAATTTTGGTGAAGCTTTTTGCATATTTCTCATTTTATTTCGTACTTGTGTTTCAATTTGTCTTATCGTTGAATTAACTCACAATTTGTTTTCCATTTTTCAAACAATTAAAAAGTTGTTTCAATTGCTTGAAGTATCTCCTGTTTTTTTTAGTGATTTGTTTGTAACTTTTCTCTGTGGGTATCCTTTGCATTATTTCTATAGCCGTAGGCCATTAATTGACTGGGCTAGTGGCTTTCATTTTCCTCCTAGTTTTGATGTGATTCTGAACTTGAAGATCAAGGGAGGCTCTTTGTACCATTTTTCCTGAGCTACTACGACACCACCACTTAAATTTTAACACAAGCCATTACTTGAAATCACATAGACAAACGCCAGGCAAACCACATAACAGAACAGCGACACTAAATTTTGATGAAAGTGCTGATGGACAGAGATGGTGCAAGTATGGAGGCCAAAATCTTGACTGTGTCCCATTATAAAGGCACAAAACCTTTGATTTAGAAATTAACAGATCTAGAGGAACAGCAGAAAGAACACTCCCTCCAAGAACAAGTGCTGTTCGAGTCTGATTGACTCTAAGAACCAGTTCATCAGATGGCGCTCCACTTCGTAGCCATGACCTGAGGACACGTACCACTTCCTGATGATGAGAATATGTTGTGTATGATATTTCTTGTGATCATGTTACACAATAAATGGAAGAAATGGGAAATTCACCTTCAAGTAGATTATGCATAGCTGGCATTTTGCATCTTTTGCCTACAATGGAATTGCCAAATTAATCATCTCTTCATGATAATGAGCTTCAACAGATGAACTTCCCTTAAGAGATTCAAGGATACCATATTCTGGTATCTTAACAAAAGAAATCCTGAAGTGAGCATATATTGGCAATTAAGCACATTGTTCAATTAACATTTCATTTTTTCACTCTTATTTATAGGTTTTGAGTGTACGTTGTCGGTGTATTTACTAAAAGCCAGCTTGTTTAGAAGACCACTGGAGTTGCAAGCATTACATGATGGAGTGAGGATATTTAAGTGGTGACGTCATGGCAGAAATACGGATACGGATATGATACAATACGTATATGGCGATACGACAAAACTTATAAAAGTCGGATATGGGTACAACTAGGATATTTTTGTAAAAAAATTATTTTTTAAATTATTAGTAGTGAGTTTACACATAAGCTCAAAATTGTTGAGAAATCTCACTAATTTTATAATGCAAAATACTAATTTTTAAGAATTATGTATTAATTTAAGCCATTAGCTAGTTTATTTCTTAAATTTCAATAGATTTTACAAATAGTTTATTTCAATATCAAGTCTAATATGTTTATATTACAATAGCACAACAATCCACATGAACTTGTCCATGTGCTTTTTCCTTTTACACTAGTCAAACATGTTGTATGCAAGTTTACTTGCATGTTTATTTCTTGATATTTAATTTTGCTATTGTTATATTAGCTTGTTACCTTACTTTCTATGTAGTTATATGGGACATGCATGATATAATAAGGCTACGCCAATTTGACAAATTCTACTACTTTTAACTCACTATGTTAAAAAAAACTCACTATGTTCTTTTTATCTAAGAATTAAGCAAAGTATTGGAAAAGCATTATTGTATTTATTCTCACAATTAAGGTATATGATAATACTATGCAAGAAATGCTACAAGCCTACAATTCTAATTTCGTAAAACAAGTAATTGGAGTATCAGTACTTCAAAACTAAGTATCTGATACGTATTTAGGAGTATCGGTATCCGATGCGGATACGATATGGATAGGTCTCCCTTTTGGAAGCATACACGTTTGGTATAAAGAGTTGGGACAGGATCCCAAGTTCCCAAGGAAGTTCCAAAGGGAAGTCTCAACCTATAATTTATATTTGATGACAAGTATAGTTATTATTGTGGGTCATTGGTTGTATATGCTTGTTTATTTCTTGAATTATGTTTTCTGCATATCTACATATTTTTATGTATTGACTTTTTGCATACTTAATAGAATCCATAATTTAATTATTTGTTCATTTTTAATTTTTTGGGCTTGGGTTTTATTAATCTTGACAAAGATTTGTAGCATCTTGGCCTTTGGTCTAAATGACCCAGTTCTAGTGAATTAATTCAGCTGAGCTTTGTTCTGTGAAATGTAGTGAGTCTTGATTTGTTCCAATACTAACAAGCCTGAGTCAAGTCTCCTAAAATTATGCTCTATACAATCGGATTATCCTTTTGGGGGATGGTTCACCATTGTCACGAGTCTCATGAGAAAGATGTAGAATTTAAAGGAGGTCGGTAAAATGGGCTGAAGCCCTCTTTCTTTCGGGTACTTAATCTGTGTTAACAGGTCTGCTGATGCTACGATGCTGTATTGGGATGACATGTTCTTATATTTCATCATGCATTGTAGTCTCTTCTCTGTTTCTGTAAATCTGAATTTTCAATCTCATAAAGTACGTCCCATAGTAGAGTCATTTTGCTAATATTTATCTTCATAACGCTTTTGTACCCTTCACCCATGCAGATAGTAAACTGGAGAACCAATCTAAAATTTCCTGATGAAGCAAGGTTATCCCTGGAAGCAAAAGATCTTATTAGTAAATTACTGTGTAATGTCAACCAGAGGCTAGGTTCAAAAGGTGCAGATGAAATAAAGGTGTTGTATGGTGTGTTCTGTTCTATGTTTCTTTATTGGTTCCATCAATGAGTTGCAAGTAAAGGGAATTACCTGGTGTTGTCTTCTATTTTAGGTCCATCCATGGTTCAAAGGTGTTGATTGGGATAGAATATACCAAATGGAGGCCGCATTCCTTCCCGAGGTCAATGATGAGTTGGATACTCAAAACTTTGAGAAGTTTGAGGAGGTGTTTATATCTCTAATTTTTTGTTAGTTTTATGGAGGTCATGGTTTAAGATATCCTTTATTACTCTCCATATTTATCTTATTTTCTGCCTTTTTCTGGTCTGCAGGCAGACAACCAAACTCAATCATCATCAAAATCAGGTCCATGGAGAAAGGTAAGCCAGATGGCTCCAACTGTTTGGAGCTTCTACTAAGGAGCACTGTGAATTCTAAAAAAATGCTCCTTCTTTTGTCATAGTTTCTTGTGCATTGTCAGTGTATCTGTTCAACTTCAATTCATACATGATTTCAACGTAATTTTTTATGTTTGATCTGGTTACTTGTGTGAAATTGGCAAGAGATGAGCTTCTTTTATTGTTTGAAACAGCAAAAGCTTTTACTAGGCAATTGGAACAGCTATTGGATTTAAGTGTCAATTCAAGGTTTTACACTTGAGTTGGACTTGTTGAGGTTCTTAGCATACACACAATTGACTGGATTTAACTGATGTTATAGCTTTGTATAGGATTGATTGGATTTAATCTAAGAAGCACAGACATAGGACATGACATGGACTCTCCGACATGCAAAATTTTCAAAATATGTAAGATACTACACGTGGGGGGCACGTGCAAAATATATAATTTCATATATTTATTATGTCATATATAAGGATGTTAGAATTTACCAATTTACTCCTCCACCTACCATCTCCACTAGCACCCACTTCACCTACCACCTCCACTACACTACACCTACTACCCAAACCCTCTCCTATATAATGCCACTCTGATTTGTAATACAATATATCAACACAATTTTTTTTTTTTTTTTTTTTTGAGTGGAGGATGTCAGGGGCGATGGTGTAATGTTCAAAAAGAAAAGATAAAAAAAATAAAATAATGGTGTGAAAAATCAGTGATAGTGTGTGAATCTGTGAGGTGATATTGCATATTATAATATATTATAATGGTGTGGTGGGAACAAGCCCACGAGGTGACAACATAATGCAATAAGGAATGTGATGATGAAGGGTGAGAGAGAGATTAAAGGGATAGTGAGGAATCTGAGAGGGAAAGCACAAATGTCTGGAATTAAAAAATCGATTTGAGCAGACTGTAAAGGAGGCGGCAGACAAATCTCAAGAGCTCCGTTTGTGGGTGCGAAGATGGTGATGTTGTGGTTGTTTACTGTGGCTTCGAGGGTTTGTAAGAGAAGGGCTTTCTCAACGAGCTCGGCGAGCTCGGTGTAATGGGAGTCGAGGAGGGCAACGAGGACTGAGTCTGTCCCTGGAAGCTGTAATATGTGCTGGCTGGAACGGCTGACATCGTTCTGGAACCAGGCCCGTGGATCCACATGGCTGAGTTCTCATTCTGCTGTAGAGAGATCAAATGATTGGCATCCTTGTACTGGGAACTCATTAGGTCATCATAGCTAATATTTGTAGCACCAGGGGCAGCAGGCGGATTCATTGTGATTTCGAGAGCCAAATCAGTCTGAGAAATTTCTGGCTAGACCGACCAACGACGCATTGAGAGGGCGGCGTGGTCGGCATCAACAGTGACGTTCACGAAGGCCGACGGCAATGGCTTGTGTGGCCTTTGGTTCGGCAGCTTTGGAGCTTCGTTGAAGAAGAAAAGAGCTGGGTCTTTGTTGAAGAACAAGAGTGCTCATCTCTGTGTGTGTGTCATGTCCATCATTGTTGCAGACATGGTGTTCGACGAAATGTCCCAGAGGGATTTTGGATTTGTTTTGGCGAGGTGGTGAAGCAGTTTGAAGGTATGTGTAGAAAATTCTAGCGGATTAGGTTGAGGTCCGGCGGGCTGCCAAGGCGAGGTTGCCGCCCGCCGGTGAAGCGAGAAATACTAAGGTCTTAACCTTGCTCTGATACCATGTAAGAATTTATGTATTATTGATTGATGTTTATTGATATATTATTGATATCTATTACAATGATTCATGATTCCTATATATAGAAGATTAGTAGGTGGTAGTGGTAGGTGTGTAGTAGGTGGTAGTAGGTGGTGGTAGGTGTAGTAGGTGGAGTAGGTGATGGTAGGTTTTAACACTCCCTTTTGGAAGCATACACGTTTGGTATAAAGAGTTGGGACAGGATCCCAAGTTCCCAAGGAAGTTCCAAAGGGAAGTCTCATCCTATAATTTATATTTGATGACAAGTATAGTTATTATTGTGGGTCATTGGTTGTATATGCTTGTTTATTTCTTGAATTATGTTTTCTGCATATCTACATATTTTTATGTATTGACTTTTTGCATACTTAATAGAATCCATAATTTAATTATTTGTTCATTTTTAATTTTTTGGGCTTGGGTTTTATTAATCTTGACAAAGATTTGTAGCATCTTGGCCTTTGGTCTAAATGACCCAGTTCTAGTGAATTAATTCAGCTGAGCTTTGTTCTGTGAAATGTAGTGAGTCTTGATTTGTTCCAATACTAACAAGCCTGAGTCAAGTCTCCTAAAATTATGCTCTATACAATCGGATTATCCTTTTGGGGGATGGTTCACCATTGTCACGAGTCTCATGAGAAAGATGTAGAATTTAAAGGAGGTCGGTAAAATGGGCTGAAGCCCTCTTTCTTTCGGGTACTTAATCTGTGTTAACAGGTCTGCTGATGCTACGATGCTGTATTGGGATGACATGTTCTTATATTTCATCATGCATTGTAGTCTCTTCTCTGTTTCTGTAAATCTGAATGTTCAATCTCATAAAGTACGTCCCATAGTAGAGTCATTTTGCTAATATTTATCTTCATAACGCTTTTGTACCCTTCACCCATGCAGATAGTAAACTGGAGAACCAATCTAAAATTTCCTGATGAAGCAAGGTTATCCCTGGAAGCAAAAGATCTTATTAGTAAATTACTGTGTAATGTCAACCAGAGGCTAGGTTCAAAAGGTGCAGATGAAATAAAGGTGTTGTATGGTGTGTTCTGTTCTATGTTTCTTTATTGGTTCCATCAATGAGTTGCAAGTAAAGGGAATTACCTGGTGTTGTCTTCTATTTTAGGTCCATCCATGGTTCAAAGGTGTTGATTGGGATAGAATATACCAAATGGAGGCCGCATTCCTTCCCGAGGTCAATGATGAGTTGGATACTCAAAACTTTGAGAAGTTTGAGGAGGTGTTTATATCTCTAATTTTTTGTTAGTTTTATGGAGGTCATGGTTTAAGATATCCTTTATTACTCTCCATATTTATCTTATTTTCTGCCTTTTTCTGGTCTGCAGGCAGACAACCAAACTCAATCATCATCAAAATCAGGTCCATGGAGAAAGGTAAGCCAGATGGCTCCAACTGTTTGGAGCTTCTACTAAGGAGCACTGTGAATTCTAAAAAAATGCTCCTTCTTTTGTCATAGTTTCTTGTGCATTGTCAGTGTATCTGTTCAACTTCAATTCATACATGATTTCAACGTAATTTTTTATGTTTGATCTGGTTACTTGTGTGAAATTGGCAAGAGATGAGCTTCTTTTATTGTTTGAAACAGCAAAAGCTTTTACTAGGCAATTGGAACAGCTATTGGATTTAAGTGTCAATTCAAGGTTTTACACTTGAGTTGGACTTGTTGAGGTTCTTAGCATACACACAATTGACTGGATTTAACTGATGTTATAGCTTTGTATAGGATTGATTGGATTTAATCTAAGAAGCACAGACATAGGACATGACATGGACTCTCCGACATGCAAAATTTTCAAAATATGTAAGATACTACACGTGGGGGGCACGTGCAAAATATATAATTTCATATATTTATTATGTCATATATAAGGATGTTAGAATTTACCAATTTACTCCTCCACCTACCATCTCCACTAGCACCCACTTCACCTACCACCTCCACTACACTACACCTACTACCCAAACCCTCTCCTATATAATGCCACTCTGATTTGTAATACAATATATCAACACAACAATCAATACATCAATCAATAATACATACAATTTATTCTCTCTCTATTTCTCTTTATACATTAAATTTTGCAAAGGATAAATAATTACTATATGTCATATATATAAATATTTAAGTCAAATATAATAATTTTGATAGTCTAAAGGTGGAGAATATGTATAAATTTACATTATTTTTGTGTTTTATCATTGGATTCCAAGTTATTTATACAAACTTGTAGTGTGTTTTATGTGTGTAAGTGTTAAGAAGCGTCCGACGAGTCTTGTGTTGTGTCAATGTCGGACACGACACATTACCTTCTTAGAAGTATACGTGCTTCTTAGGATTTAACTGATTTTATAGCTCTGTATAGGATTGACTGGATAAGCCAGATCCATGAACTGACCCCAATTAGTTGGGCTTAAGGCTTAATAAGAAAATTCAATAGTCACCCCTTCTAATCATCCAATTAAGCCACAAATCAACTACCAATGATTACCAATTTACAAGCAAGAGTTGAATTATGACAATTAAACATGTTTGGATGATGAGAAAGTGTTACCTATGTTTGTCACTGACATGTTTTGAGAATTAGTAGATCTTAGGGGTTGATGTGTTGTCCTCAAAAAAATTGCACTACTTATCATTGCATTTAATAATAAAAGTTTGGGAAAAACTAATTGAGTGTAGACTGTAGATTAAGACATGGGACTAGAACCTCAAAAAATTGCATTCATGAAGGAATTTCCCTTTCAATGCATTTTTTTTTTTAAAAGGGCAATCCAATGCACATGGTTCCTAATAAAGTGGGAATTGGGCAGTGTGCAAGATGTTATTAATTTTTCATTCTATTACTGTCAAGGTATTAATATCTCTATTGTTAGTTGCAATTTTTTCTTTCTTCTCTCTTCTATATGATGAGGAATTGAAAGGAATTGGTTGAAGAATTTTTGAAGATCGGGATTTATTTGATTTAGGTTTGATTATTTTGTAATTTGTTAATTTTGTGATTTGATTTCTGTTTCTATATTAAAATTCTTGTGGTTAGCCTATGAATACTTGGTTTGTTGTGATTGATAGGACCTTTAATATTGAGAAAAAAGATTGACCGAGTTACTAGAGTTTATTTTCTTGTCTTGGCAATTGTTCTTTTCTTTTCTTTTATTGCTCTCTATTTTGTTTTATTTTTAAATTTCTTCTCTTTGCTTGCTCTCATTCACATCAGCCGTCCAGCATCACTACATTTTTTTCTCTCTCTCATTGCTTCTCTTTCTTCCTGCAGATGCTCTCATCTAAGGACATTAACTTTGTAGGGTATACATATAAAAACTTTGAAATTGTCAATGATTATCAAGTGCCTGGGATGGGTATCTCTCTCTCTCTCTCTGTGTATACTTGTAAATTGTATGGCCTTGTACAGGTGGAGTTTGGGGGTTCATCTACGAATTATTGGGCTTGTTTGATGACCTTGGTTATTTAGAAAAGGGAGGAAACAATGAGCATTTGAATCTACAATCTAATTGCTTTTTTTGTTATTCAAAGCATTACAGTACAGATGTCGAGATATAATGTTGTTATTAAAGTTATGTGGCAGATTTTGCTTTTAACCATGCCAGATTACTTCATCAATGTTGAAAGTTGTGCAAATTCATTAAATCCATCAAATAGTGATCTTATTAATTTTGTAAGATTGTGTATTATCCTGGCTGGTCAGTACAATCTTCTTTTTCTGATATTGGAAATAAGGTTTGTAAGAACAGTCTGGACCATCAGTAGTGCGACTCTTATTTGAAATCTCAATGATAACTCTGATTTTTTGTATGTAGTTTAGAGGTTAATAATCTGCAAGGAACCATATCCGCCATTCATTAGTTTCGTGTTGCTGATTGTGCTTTTATGATGTTTTAGTTATTGATCTTTCCCTGTAACTAACTGGTTTATCCCACTTTGCAGCTGAATTGAAGAAGAAAAACACCAAACCAAAGAGACCAACCATCATGTCACTCTTTGGTAATCTTGAATCCTTTTTACCTTATATCTTTGTTTTGTTTTGTTTTCTCGCTTTTCTTGACTAATCAAATTGAGTATTAGATTGCCTATGCCTCCTGGCAAGCCTTGCTTGCGTCCCTCTCATTTCTCTGGGGTTTTACCTCTTGCAGAGGAAGAGTCTGAGTCAGATACATCAGATGCTGCTGCTTCTAATGCCTCGCGAGGGAGTTTTGAATCTGTAAATCAGAAAGAATCTGCTTGAAATTGCTGGATTTCGTGACCTATTCGACTTTCAAGTGAATAATTTTGTTCATCGATTACCATTTTGTACGTGTGGATTAGATAATTAGTTTGGCTGGAAGGTCTGATTCAGAGTTTGATGTGGAAAGCCCAGAGCCCCTAGAGGTGCTGGCTTTTGAAGGTGTACTAATCTGCGCAGATGAAAGCCCTTAGTTGTTGGTTTTTTAGTTAATTTTTTCCAGGAGAGAAGTGAGGTGGAAATACTAATTTATTTGATACGTAATTTAATTTAATTTTTTTTCACCCTTTTTAGTTCCTGATTATAAAATGTTGTATACGGAAAAAAGGTCTTCCCCCATTTTATTTTCTGATTGTAAAATGTTGTAAAAGATCTTCAGTCTTATGGGCTAAATTTGTTAGTGTTTTGCTTTTCAAAGGTTTTGAGATATTTGAATGCAGATGAATGAGATTGTGGACAACACATATTGAACTGAGGCATATGATTGTCTTCAGTTATTTTATTTTATTTTTATTTTTTTTCCTATTTCAGAAAAAGATACTGAAAATTTTGCGAATTTGGTATGGTTTTTGTTTTCAGCATTTTGTTCTTGAAAAAACAAAAATTGAAATGAAAATTTAGTTTGACAAATTGCTTTTGAGCACTGTTTTTGGAATTTTTTTTTTTTTTTCCTTTTCTAAAAATACCTTATTTTAAGGAAGCACATTCAAGTTGTTTTTTTTTATATTTATATATATATATTTTTTGCACAAAATAAAAACAAGATGAAAATGATGCATGTTTTTAAACTTTTTGTTATTTTTTGTTTTTAAAAAACACAGAAAATATTGAAATGTTACCAAAAAGATCGCATGCCTTTTATTTTGTTGAGTTAATTTCAGTTTTATCATCTAAATTATTGTAATTTTGTTTGTTTAATCTCTAAACTACCTATTTTATCGATTTAGTGGAGTTAGTTTATTTTTTTATTTTTTTCAGCTCAAGAGGTTTAATTAGAAACAGTTGTCCAAATTAGTAATGTTAATGTTAAAGCCTAATTTGATGGTGAAACGTGGTTTGAGAATTTGAACAAAGGACTATGAGGGGAGCTTCTTTTGTCACACACTATTTTTACCTAGTCCACATACTTAGTCATTTTTTAATTATAATTTTATCTTAAAATGAAATTATCATAATACTCTTATTTTCTTAATTCAAAACCCTAATCTTCAATCCATTAACCATCACCACTTTCAAATCATATGCAGTGAGAATTTTTAGTGTGTAGAAATATAACTTACTTGAGGGTGAGGAAGACAGAGAGGTGGAGAAGATTAATGTTTGGTTGGTTGTAAGGTATAAATTATCTAATAATATAGGATGCATAAGAAAATAAGCATTTAATTATGTGATTTAGATTGTATAAATTGTAAAATTATTTTTTGTCCATTAAGTTTGGCTTTAAAAGGTTAGTCAGTGGGATGAGCATCTCCACCTAAAATCACTCTATTATATTAATTGAAAAGAAAAGGATATTATATGCCCAAAAATATGTATGATATGTATCTTATATAAAAAGTATAATTTTTATTATAAAATATATAAAATTTTTTATCACAAAAAAATTCAACTTTCCGCTCCTCACAAAACTTTTATCACAAAAAAAAAAAAAAATTATTTTAATTATACAGAACTTTAAAGATCTACAAAAGTATTTATAACTGTCAACGCAAAAATCATAAAAAATCATAATTTACATTATAAAAATGATTTAACTTTTTGAAAAATGCTTGGAAGCACTAATTAGTGCTCCCACTAATTAGGTGGCAGTGGGTCCCGCCATTATTGATGTGATATTTTAGTCTTGAAATTGTATTTTTTTTATTTTTTTAATGTATTAGTACTATTAGTGGTGATATTTTTAATGGGATGAATTGTAACTTTTTTTCCAACGTACAAATACACATTGTAACATCTTTTCAGACGGGGGACGACTATAAAAGTAATTAATTATTATGGTAGGTCCACAGTGACTGTGCCACTGCCATTTGTCTTGCTATAACGCTTACATGGTGTCACCATCTACCATCAGTGCTTTTTAAATAATTTCCTAACTTACGGCTCTATATATAATAATATTAATTACAAGTACGTGTTTGATATGTATTAAAAAAAAGTGTATTTTATATATATATATACTTATTTAGGTTATATTAATTAATATTTATTAATATTTTCTCTCTATATTTTTACACATTTTTTTAAAATAAAAAATCAAAAAATATCTCAAATCATCCATAAATTTAACAATCTTAAAGGGCCAATATCGTCATTTTCTTTGGTCAAAAAAAAAAATAAAAAGAAAATGGATTCACCTACTTAAACTTTAGTAATGAAAATAAAACTGCCACTTGTGTTGTTGTCGTGAGTGACTTTCTCATACAAAGTTAAAACAAAAGACAGATGATTTGCTTCGATTAATTAAGAAATTGTTTTGATGTTGACAATTTGAAATTTTCAACATTTTCATTTATCAAGAGTATAGATAATCCTACAAATTCTCACAAAATATATTATGATTTTTTATGGAAGCCTGACATTAAAAATAATCAATCTTTTATTTCTTATACCTCGAATAGTGAGTAACTAAGTTAGACGGACTGATTCTTGTCCCGAAAACCTTGAAATAATCAATTCATTTACCATTAATCATGTGATTAATCAAGAGTTGGAAACCAAAGTATAGAAAATATTGGATACAAGAGATCTTATGCCTACCAAATTCGCCAATTAAAATGAGGTCTAGGCATTGGTAGGATTAGGTTTGTTATGATCTATAGGATCTGTTCAGTGTAAGTTGAAAATTAATAATAAGAGAGTAAAAATTAAAAATACATCTTCTTTTATTTTTTAATAAAAAAACTTATTTAAATTATTTATGTCTCATGAGTTGTAAGTAGAAATTAAACTGAACACTCTTGTCACATATTTATATTTTTTATAAAAAAAATGAGAGAAGAAGCTAAAAACAGATCTATTAGATGCACCACCCAAGCCTAGAGTAGTAGATCAAGCCTAATTAAATAGTTTTGTAAGATACACCAAGCAAGCATGGAGTAATATATGGATCACAAATAGTTTTAATCTCTTAGCTAAAAATAACTTGGTCTATTTAATTTCTTTTTCTATATATTATTATAATTGTCAATGACCAAGTCAAAAATATTGTTTTCTATAGTTTACAAACAAAGCTCTCGCCCAGTTGTTTATTTATTTATTTATTTTTGAGTTGAATCGGTAACAGAATATTTGTAAATATTTAAAAAATCACATCAAATTAACTAACTAATTATGAATTATTTCCTCCCCGTAAAATTATTATAATTGTCAATGACCAAGTCAAAAATATTGTTTTCTATAGTTTACAAACAAAGCTCTCGCCCAGTTGTTTATTTATTTATTTATTTTTGAGTTGAATCGGTAACAGAATATTTGTAAATATTTAAAAAATCACATCAAATTAACTAACTAATTATGTAAGAAAGTTTAACAACAGATACTCAGCAAGTTTAACTCTAATTAAGTTAACTCAGTTGGCCACCCACTTATACTTTTATCAGAAATGCCAAGAAAATCTTGACTAATTATGGGGCACCTAAAAATATTCAGTGTGTTTGGTTTGAGTTTTCTGAATTAAATTTTTGAAAAATTGAGTTTTTTTGTTTTTGTATTCTTTTGTTTTTAGTGAATATTTTTTAAATTTTAAACAATTTTTTTACTTTTTTAGATGCACCTTAGTTAGATGTATCTAAAAAATAAAAAATTTGTGAAAAAATATTTTAAAAAATTAATAAATACATAGAAATACAAAAAATATACTGAATTCTTGTATTTTTTTTTATATTTTTGGTATTTAGTGAATTTTTAAAAGATTTTTTTTACAATTTTTTTTACTTTTTAGGTATATTTATGTTAGGTGTGTTTAAAAAGTAAAAAAATTGCTTAAAATATTAAAAAAATTCAATAAAAATAAAAAAAATATGAAAAATAAGAAAGTAGAATTTTTTGAAAAGTATTTTCTGAAAAATGAAAACAAACAAGCTGATTAATATTATGAAATTTTACTTTGTTTTTTATTATTTCTTTCTTATTGTAATTGTCAGGTTGATGATTTCTTCCCAATTATGGGGCTCTTTTTGTTGGGCTGATGGTTGAGTTTATATATTTGTTAGAGAATGATTGTTCAATTGTCATTCTCCATATTGTAAAGAAAATACTCATGCCAATTGAAAAAAAAAAAAAGAAGATAAAAAATAAAATATCCAATACTAACGACACTACATCAAACAAGAAAGAACTCATAAAAACAAAACAACTCTAATACGTAATAAATAATCAATTATTACTATTTACTTGCAAACCTTTCAATTAAAATGTAAAAGTGATGACTCAAGCTAGAGCAGTTGGTTAAACTTTCTATGATATGAGTCTATGGCTTATTTTGGTAATTAGTAAAAAAAAAGTCAGTTTATTGACTTATTTAGATTATTATCACCTATTTATTTTTTTTATATGTTTTTTTTTTTCAAAGAAAGTCAATAAACCAAAAAAAATAAATCACTTTTCAAAATAGGCCTATATTTCAAAGTAATTTTCATTGGGAATTCCATTTCAAACGAAGACCCAAGTTACGATTGATGTTATTTGAATGGGAATATGTACATGATCTTGGGGGAGGTGGAATATGTTGGAAAATTAGTTTTTTATAGGCTTATTTTGGGTTATTTTTTAGCCCAAAATAGAGAGGGTTCCACACATCTTTGGAGGTGGGTCCGAAGTGGTGACGTGTTTCTTACCGCATGGCAAGCCACACGGTGAAGACGGTTCGTCAAAACCATTTATGAGTGAATGAGAATTTGACGTCGTTTTCTGATTTGTGAAATTGGACATTTAAAGAATCAAATACGGGTTTCCTTGAAATGAGTTGTCCCATATTGAAACTTTAAGAGAGCTTTTGTAACTATATAAACTCTAGGTGTACAATCTTGGGTTGGGCCTTAAGGGGCGCCCCAAGTTTATAGAAGGGAAGAGTTATGGACAAAGTGAACCTTAGTCTAAATTACCACACAGTCGTCCGGGCAGGCGCGGGTGTGGGTCGGTTCTAACATTAATTTTTAGGAGGAAATTTATTTAATTTTTTTTTCAAAAATTCTTTATGAAATTAAATTCAAATTATTCAATCCGAAAATTCCAAACAGTCTAACTGTTGGAAACCGCTCAAAATTGTTGCACAGTTTTGAAATTGCACAGTTCATACAGTTCGGACAGATCTTTATTCAAACAGTTATCTGTTCAAATAGTGTTTGCACCTGTTCATTTGAAACCATACATGTTCAGTTCAAAAACTGCACCTGTTGGGCGGTTTATTTTGCCTATAAATACCAGCTTTGTTCCAGCAGTTTAGTATCCCGAAAAAACAAT